ACACACACACACACACACACACACACACACATTTATATTTTTCGAGTGCACTATGCTACGTATCCGTGTAGAATTAGTAGGCACATCATAAAATGCGTRTATTGGCTATATCGTTATGGGCAGTATCACTGAGCCACGCGGTCTCACTATACAATATATTTTACCAATAATACCTCAAAGATACTCCGCAAATTATTGTTCATGATAATTTAATACTAGAAAACCATTAAATACGTATAGACACACTAGTACTATTAAAAGCTATTTATGTTAATTCTAGACGAGTTTAAATTAATGTTTCTATATAATATAGTCCACTAGGTAGCTATAGATATTTTTCTATGAATATAATAATTCCATCATCATTGTATTGAATAAAATAACATACATTTTTAGTTTAAGTTATCAATATTATATTGTATTATATTTATATCACATGATACAAAAAATAATTATTTATTAATTTTATGTAAAAYAGTAATCCATTGTAATTTGAACACTGCTGCTTGTACAAAATCCCAGACTGAGTGGAATAAAATTAAATAATTGCTATAGTACTTACATTACTTTGATTAAATAAAAGTTATGGTAAAAACATTAAGCGATTTTTACTCGAGAATAAAATAAAGAGATGTAAAAGTGAATTAGACCTGTAACTTTTTTATTGAGCTCTAGGTTTAACGCAATACGTGTTTAATAATAATCATTGTTAATTATTATCCTCAATCATATTATCATATTATATGATCTTAATAATAATAATTTATATTATTTATGTATTTAAATTATGTGCAATACTATGTTAAAATGTAATAATTGTTACGATACATCGTATGGTACGAAAAACATAATTCAATATAACTCAATACTATATAAGTAGGTACTTATACAACTTTTTTTTAATAACAATGTAATTTCTTGATATAATATTTATAATCTAAAAATAACAATATTTTTTTTTCATTATTTTGGTTTGTTACATATTAAATAATACAATATTGGTAGGTACGCGATGAAAAATAAATTGAAAATAAAAACAAAACGTTTTTGTTTGGTAAATTAAAACCGGATCTTATCCAAAACTGGTGACGATATTATTAATATTTGCTTTACCTCTGAAAAATATCCTACTCGTGAAACAATAGGTATAAAATGTAATATTGTGTACAGCATGTTTATGTGTATATTGGGCATAAATACAATTTATAATATAACTAGGAACTCATTTTATATTCGAGAGTAATAACTTTGTCTGTCTCAAAAACCTTGGTAATTTAGATTAAGGCCGTTTTAAATTTAAATATATGTCAGTTTATGAATAAATTGTTTTTTTTTTCATTTTACTTAAATCGGTTTAGAGTTTATACTCGAAACGGTATAACCATCCCGCTATTTAAAGCGTTTAGTAAATGCAAATTAAAAATTGCAAACAAAATAAACATTATTCATCATGTCTCAAACTCAGCCTTAACAGGGTTATAAAGCGATTATCCCGTAGGAATTAAAGAATAATATAATTTAGTGTCAACTGAAACACTATTTTTATACAATATTCCGTCGAGAAAAATACAGTCTTAGTAAATGTAGGTGTATATAGTGCACGGTTAAATAAGTTAAATATTTATAACGAACAACTCGATGGAATTCAACACTATTTGTTCAAAACTTGAAATTTTCGTTTCATTTTTTTTTTTTATCTTGCAGATAAATAAAATATTACCGAAAAAAGTCTGAGCATAAATAAACAAATTTATTGTTTGAATTYAATCAAAATCAAGTAATAAAATAAAATAAAGAAGAAATACGAAATAAGAAAATGAATAAAAACATATAAAAATAATTAATTGAATGTAAACAATTGACTTATAATTATATAACAACAAATATCATATTATTCTATAATATAGTTATACATTATAAGCAAAAAGTATTTTTTCATCTAACTTAATATATTGGCGATCGAACCGAAAAAAACAATCTTATTAAGATGTAGTACCTATAAAAATAATTGTATTTAATATACAGCTATAGTATATTATACTCCCTTATTTCCCGCATTCAACATGACGTATATATTTATTTTGTATTTTAATATATAAAAATAAAAAATTGGAATTTAATTAAAATTGATAAGTTTGGTTTATATGAATACATCCAATATAAAATAACATTTTAAAATATATACATWTACATTATACATAAATATAAATAATTGTACGTTTTTCATAATAATAACAATAATAATGATTTGTCTTATTTATCAGTGACTAGTCAGGATTTACCAAACATATAATWCACGTAGAATGTTATCAGGTATTTAAAAAGTTAAAAATATTATGGCATTTAATTTKATAAGATATTAATAGAACTCTTACAGTGTAACGTTTTGAAAGTGCTAAATTTGAAGATCAACCTAGGGTGGATTATAAAAATTTACAACCGTTTTGATGAAATAAGAAATCCAAATAATATAAACAATTATATGTATTATTTTAAATTGATTGTATTTTAACATAGATTACAAATTATTTACGTATATGAATTGATAGTACTAATAATATGCGTTGCTATAAGATATAATAAAAATATGAGGTATCAATAGATATTCATCCTAATGTCTAATCTTTAAAATAATATTTAAGTTGATAATTGATTTTCAACTTCGTAGTTAAGTATGTCCAAATTGATCTAAAACGAATAAATCAGAGTCAATCAAAGCAGTCAAGTGATTTTTCACGCAAGTAATTTTCCAAATAATTGGTATGCATAAATTACATAATTGTAAAATTCGGGTATTTATAAAAGTGTWATTTTACAAATTACATGCTCTTGGATAATCTATGTATAATATATAGATACACCTTTTGTTGGCACATGGCCAAACTGATTAGGGGTATTTCTGGGTGCCGGATGATTATTTTATCAGTARAAACTCATTAATCATTATCTTAAAGAAGAATTAGCGTTTTAAAATTGTTTTTATACCTCAATTGAAATAATTAAAAAAACACATTTTTGGAAAAATTTAATTTTTTTTTACTATTTTTATTTTAATCAATATAATATGCATTTTAGATAAGCGGGATAGTGAAYTAAAATGTTGCGGCGTATTCCTATGTGTCACAAACTTTACATTTTTCAAGCACAAAATAAAATTAGTTCTTTTCAATTTTGTAAAATGATAAATTGATAAGTGTTTGCTGTATAATGTATTACTCAGTATACGAGTGTTAAAAAGTGTATATAGTACCTATCTATCCCAGATAGTAGCGAACTCCCGAAACACAATTCAATTTGTAGTGTATAGTAATTAAAATGAAAAAAAAAAAAATTTTCATAAGCCTAATTTGAACCTCAGTCAAACACGTGTTACATAGTACAATAATATATYTGTATGCGCAATTATTTATTATGCATTATGGTTTTTACTAAATATACTACTAGTCTATAATAATATAGATAAAGTGAAAACAATGTCAAAAATATAAATTTATTGTCATTCTACATTACTATCATTATTATTTAATTATTGTTATCATAATATATAGTACAATATTTTGAACGAATATTACAGTCTTTGGGAAATCATGAATTTGACGACGGTGTTAAAGACGTTGAATCATTTATAAGAAGCATAACCATACCAGTAGTAGCTAGTAATCTCGACTTAACCTACGAACCTGCATTGGCTCGTGAGCCAAACTTGATGAAATCTAAAGTTCTGACAGTGAATGGTCGCAAAATTGGAATTATCGGATATTTGACGCCGGAAACCATGGTGAGTATTACACATAATATTTTATATAAGGTGAATAAATTTCTGTACCATTCATTACGTATAATTTCGTAAATATTTATTTTTCCACGCTATAAAATTTTAGGCCGATTCTATTACCGTCAACCTAACCATCAACCACTATTTTTTAGTAAAATTATGTGGTGTTAAAAAAAAATGATAAAATCAATCATTTTAAGTCATTGCTATATTCATGTCCAATGTCCATACCATACACCAGATAGACGAGAAAATAAATCTTCTATGTTCAAAGCAGTTTGATACTTATTGGCTCTAGTTAGGTTAAGGTGATGTGTCTATTAATTATGTAGTTTTACATTATACTTATAATCGTATAAAACTACAACTGTGTAACTTTTGTAAAATAAACTGTGTGAAATCAATTAATAACTSCATAAAACTATAGAAAACGAAAACGGTACGCTAAAATAGAATATTTCAACTGTCGCCGGTAAAGGGTAACGTAAAATAATTTTATTTAAAATAATTCTTGTTGTCTTGAAACTATTATTATTATTATTATTATTATTATTATTACATCAACTTTTTTAAAACATCATTAAAATACTGAAAATKGTGTTACAATTCGGCTGCGTTGACGATATTAAAACTGTGCAGTCCACGAATACAATATTAGTTTTTACCCGGATGGAAACTGAACAGCAGTAGAACTGCAATAACAACTAACAATAATTCACAGTATAAAAATGTAGGCGTTGGACGGTTTAAGCACTATAGAAATAATGCGTTTACCAAACAAAAATTATTTAGTTGTATCAAATAAGTAACACATTTATATTTATGACCACGGTAATAATAATCGATGAACTATACGATAGTATGTCTACCGTCTACGGCGGTGTCAGCTAAAAGCAGTTTCTTCGAGCCAGCGACGGTATATATACCTATATCGATATCGTCAACCAGACTGGTTGGCTGGTACTGCTGGTAGGCACGACCTCGTGAGGACGTTGATAAGATAGACCGGTTTTACGGTGTGTRCGAACAAAACTACGCAACAAAATACTATAAATTATTATTGTAAATCATTTACATAATGGGCATGCAAGGTAAATAAGTTTGGTTAGATATCAGTGAGAAAGTAATATGCGCAGTGGTTCTAATCCTAAAAAAGGATAAACATAGGCAACCACTCTAATGTGCAACAGGTGTCGCGTGTTTYTTATAATTATTGAATAAGTCACTGTAATGAATGTGTTAAATTTTTAATTTAATGATAAAAATCATTGAATACAGTAAACGATTCCAAGCAATGACTCTATGCCAGTCTAATCGTATACTTACTAATAAGTATATTACATTGCGATATAGGTACATTTGTACATTGATTTTGCAGTAATTTATTTTACTATTAGTAATACGGCAAGTTGAATAAAAATGAAGATGAAAAAATCTCTCTGGCAGTATATAATATTGTTAGTAAATAATATAATTTATTGTAACCGTCCTATGAAGAGTGTACTCTAATTTTATGGTGACGTTTAGGTGACGATAACATCATAATTATAATAAATATGGGTACCTACAAGTATAATTTCAAATATAAGAATGATRTTTTTAGATTATAGGTATTTACTATTTACATAAACAATTTCTAATTTAATAAAACGAAATTATCCCTTACGCAATTAATTATTATGTGATATCTATCACTTACAGGCACACTACAAAATATTATTAATTAGATTATATTGTGAAACTGCAGTTTACACTCAACCCAATAGTTATATTATACATTATGCCTAGAGCATAGACCTTTTAATAGATCTATTATGATATTATGGTACTGAGTTGTTGGCATATGTCATTGACAAGTATACCATGTGAAATGYTTAGTTTATAATATGGTTGGCGTGTTATCTAATTATTATATTACTATAACAGTATATTCATCGATGTAGTATAGAGAGTATACTCAAAATGCTGAAATTCTTGAATGATACGTATACGTATTATAGGAAAATAAATAAAACAAATACGCTGATATGCGATCGTAGCCTATTGCATGATAACCATAATAAGTAATATAATTTAAAAATGCCTGTTTTTTTTTTTTTTTACYCGTAGCTCCGAAAAAAACAAGCAGACCAAATTAATAATATAAATATTAAGTATACATCTAAAAAGTTGAAAAAATCTTTTTGACAGTATATATAACATTGTTACGTTCGATGTGTTCGAAATCGAACACAGTAGAATGTGTACTCTACACCTTAAAGTTTACAGTGTGTACGACTAATATCAGGGTGATTCTTTTATCAAACAACACTCATTATTTTAAAAAAGTATTGACTTTTTCAAAATAATTTTTTTACATAGTTTCAAGTTGTTAAAAACCAATGTTTTTCTTAAAAAATTATATTTTTAAATATTTTTTATCCTTATAATTTTTTAAGTTTTAATTTCATATCCTAAATTAGAATATTTTTCTAAGTATTTTGATTAATAAAAATTGAATTTGGAACGAATAGTTTATGAGTTATAACTTATAAGTATTTAAAGTTTAGATAAGCGGAGTAGTGAACAAACATTCTGCGGGGTAACCCCGTACCACTCCACTCTGCCAATCCGAAAACAGCCAGACATCGAACAATTAACAAACACAAAAATTTTCAATCAACCAGAGCTCAGTTAAAATATTTTTTCATTTATTTGAAGGTTATAGCACAAGTGGGTAATGTAAGAATATTGCCAGAAATCCCGTCAATTCGGGAGGAGGCKAAACGACTGAAAAATGACGGGGTGGACATTCTTATAGCGCTGGGGCATTCTGGTTTTGAAATGGATATACAAATAGCCAGAGACATCGAAGACATCGATTTGGTAGTTGGTGGACATTCAAATACATTTTTGTACACAGGTGAATATAAGATTAATCATCGTGATTTATGCATAATAATTGCAGAACAGTTATCAATTGGAAAGTCGGCAGCCACAATTTTAAATGTAGGGTCAATATTTCATTGTAGTTTTTTTACTACAACCCSAAACTTAAGTCTCGTCTACAAAAAAAAATGGAAACTGTATTAGGTATTTGTTTTAGAATCTGGTGTATAAACTATTAATATTTTCTCATTTATTTAAAACTCAAAATATTTGAAACTTTTTTTTTATTATTACTAATATAACATWTATTTTTTTTATTTTTTGAAATAAATCGTATAATATGTTCTCTGAACTTTTTTTTGGTAAATCATGGTAAAAATTAAATACGTTAAATTTCATTCGAAATACGACATTAAAATATCCTCACTAACTAATTATTTAGCTAATGGAATAACTCATTAGATACTGACTTTCCAATTAATTTAAATATTGTATATCAGGTATGTGTAATTATATAAAAATATTGTGTTACTCGGGTCCGGGAGTCAGAACAGTACAGCATATTATTCACATCATAAATTATCAAACTGACATTATTATAGAACGCACATGATACTATTATTGGATATAATATTATATGGGCAGCTTATACAGTTATAAAGTAGGTGATAATAATGSTATTATAATAATAAAAGTAGTTTTTATCTTTTGAAGGAAATCCACCGGGTATCGATAAGCCTGTCGGCCCGTATCCTTTTATGGTGGAACAGCCAAACACCCATAGGAAGGTTCCCGTCGTCCAGGCAGATCACATCACCAAATATTTGGGTGAATTATGGATAGAGTTTGATGAAGCTGGTGAAGTTATCAAATGTTATGGAAACCCAATTTTATTGGATTCCAGTATCAAGCAAGGTATAAACACGCATATTTTATGATGTTAAAAAAATACACTTAACATTTTTATGGYTTGTTGAGGTAAAAGTGAAGTTGGCACTACAAAGTTATTGCCAAATCTTTCAAATAGCTTTGAATRCAACACTATGRTACTTGATGAATAATGTTGGAAAAAACATAAAAATAAAAATATGTTTATCAAAAGCAATATTTACGAGTATCRAGTTTTTKTCTACATTGTGTGGAGCTTATGGAGACATTTTATTCTGGACCAATAGAATCATATATGTATATTGTATAAAAAAAATATAAAGTGATGGAATTTATATGTTAGAACTTTGGCAATACATCACGTTTCCACGGTTTATATTTGAGTACTCATTTTAAACAAAACTAAAAATGGTTCAATTTGTGCTACTACTGTAGTGCCCATTTTAATAATAATAATAAAAAAAAAAATAATGACCAAACAAACTTTGTTTATATTTAAATCAAGTTTTATTCCAGTATTTTAATTTCCGAGGACTAAATAATGAAATATTTTATAAAACATTTTAAATTATGGTTGTTACATATTATAGAATGTCATTGAGGAAATCATTTGTACTGTACAATATTGTTATAGATCCCAAAGTATTGGATGAAGTAAGAATCTTGAGAGAAGTTATTGAGAACAAGACTAAACAAGTGATTGGTTCTACAAGCGTATTCTTGGAAGGCGATAATGAATATTGTAGATTCAGAGAATGTAACTTGGGAAATTTCATAACTGACTCTTTCGTTGATTACGTGTGTACTAAAAAAATAAAAAAATAAAATAAAAGATAAAAATAATAAAGAAAATTGTCGTTTACAGAATATTCGGAATAATATTAAATCATTTGATTTGACCAAATACTGGACTGATGCACCCATAGCGTTGATACAAGCTGGAGGGATACGAACAAACATCAATAATATAAATAGAAAAGGTATGTTATACATAGGAAAAACATTGAAGTACATGAGTAGGTGCTTGAGTATGGAACTTAGCATGTACCAGGTTTTCAATGATCATATGTTTTAAAGGGAACATAACTTTTGGAGATTTGCTGTCGACGATGCCCTTTAAAAATGATGTAGGTAAAATGACGATAAAGGGTTCAGACATTTGGGCAGCTTTTGAGCACTCCGTTCGACGGTATAGCACAACAGTGTCCAACGGTGAATTTCTACAAGTTTCAGGTAAACGAACTAAATCGGTGTAAATAATATGAAAATTATACTTATATAGATTGTATTATATTTGATGGTCAATGCGACAGTAATATCATTGTATATTAGGATAAAGTTAGGCAATGACAGTGTTTGTGGTCAAATAAAAAATTGTGATTTACATTAAAATACTTGATATTACTCAGTAATCTGATAACGCTAACACATATATTCTTATATCGTCCAACAGGATTAAATGTCGTAATAGATTTTGGACGGCTCAGTGGTGAACGCGTGCAATCCATTCACGCTAGATGTGGAAATTGTGCCGTTCCTGTGTACGAGAAATTGGATTTAAACGCTAATTACACGATAATTGTCAGTGATTATCTGGCAAATGGTGGGGACGGTTTCTCGTTCAAAAAAGTGGTGAAATTCCAGAGTTTTGGTGAGTGTGACGCAAATATTATAAACAGAAAAACATTTATTATATATATTATTATTATGGTTATTAAATTATGCGTACGTGTGTTTATAAAATCAGGAATAACAGATTTAAAGATTATAGAAGAAGAGTTCCTCGTGAGGTCACCGATATGGCCGGAAGTCAGTCGTCGGATAGAACTGCTCAACGTGGGAGAGTTGAACAAGTCGCAGACAACTAACAGTGATAGCCAGCGCGTTTCAACATCTCTGTCGGACTTGACATTATTGCTGTTGACGGTTGCGGTCACGTTGTGTTTGACAGATCGACTTATTGTATCATAATATTAATTTGGTCCTAGCGATCACTTTACTATACCGTTGTATAAATTGCTCAAAGACAATGTTATATTTTTTAATAATATGTTTTTACCTTTTAAGTATTAAGAACTAATAACGGCGACGACAGCAAAGTCTATTCGTTTTAAGGCCACAGCAGTATTGTTTGAAATGCTTTCTGCAACTGTAGCTCAAAAATTAAAACGAACTGAGTTGTTTTTTAATAGTTTTTTTCTCATAATATACGTGATTATAAATTATTTGAAAAACGATTTTTACTTACACGCCTGAGTTGTTCTACGCTCTGATGTATAGAACGGAATTGTAGGTAAAATGATTTTCGATTATATATTTAATATATAGTATAATAATATTATTAACGATGATTAATATAATTATAATTGTCACTAAATGCCGATAATCGGATGATATGCTATCATAATGTTGTATTATGTTCTAATTTTTATATAATTATACTACGGTCTATACGCCAAACAATTATTGAATTTTAGAAAGATGTTGTTATTATGTTTTTTAATATTGTGGTTAAAATATTTTTTTTTTTTATTGTCATTATCACAAAGACAATAAGTTACGTGTGTAGGCTATACAGTGAGTATATACCGGGTGGAAATACCTCGAATACAGTCTATTTTCTAGTCTAGTGCACACACTACGATAGAATACAAAATAAATCGAGAAACGAGATAGATGGTGCACAACAGTTGACACGTGCCCATAGTATCCTAAACAACGATCTAAATCTAAAAGTCTCGGAAATGAAATCAAAAATTCAAAATCGATTTATACACTATGTAGATAAGATAGTAAGACGTACTATAAGAGCTTGTATTTCACACCTATACGTATTTACAGTACACCAGTCCAAATCTAACAWTTTTTACCAGCAGGACGAGTTCAAAATAATAATTATTTTGCACACCAAACAGATCTATCAATCTAAATATTATTCGTATCTTTAATATTACGGTGATAATGTTCAAAACGCGAAGTCGTGGCATGCAATGAATATTACAGTGTTATTATGATTATACTCAAGTTTCTATATAATATCCCCATGGGAGTATATACGCTTATACGTATTGGTGTTGTATGTTGTTATACTTCAAATTTGATAAAGTAATAATAATATACTTTATATTAAAATAATAATCATAATAATAGCAAATATTAATAAAATAATTAATAACAATAATAATAATAAAATTGTCAATAGTAATAATAATCCATCTATAGTATAATACATTCGTAAATATAATCTTATAAAAATTAAATTTTCTAAATCTTAGAATAACTGCATAATTTTTTATGTAAATTAACATAACTATAGAATATTTTATGTTAATATTTAGTTGAAATTAACTAGATAAATCATGTATACTGAAGTTAATAGTTCCAATTTTAAGTATGGTACAATAATTTACAAAACGGGTTTTAAACATATTTCATTTATTGTCACTATTCACGTGAGCTTAGGGTATAGAACATTGGACATTTGTTTTTACTTAACGATTTGAAATATGAATCATACACAATAAAACAAATACGTTTATTCAAGATGATTTAAAAACTTTAAATAGGTATCGGAGACATATAAATAATGTTATGGGGCTACCTATATTATAACTTTATTGATTATATAATATAAAATATAAAATAATTTAATCATAATAAAAACGAGGATGTAAAACACACCGTATAAGCAGATAATATTATGAGCAATAAAAATATACCGTGCATTTATAAATGGTCAAAACGAAAACATAATAATATTGTGTTGACCTGACATACGTCTCTATAAGTATATCTAGGATATTCTTTGTTGTGGATTAGTTTTTGAACGATCMAACGAGGTAGCTAGGTACCTTCATCGTTTTTATGCTTGGAAGCTTTGATGTCGTTCCTTTTGGGCTTTGGGAGATTATATTTTAAGGACATATTTTATTCAAACTTAAAAACGCTAGAAGTATAAAATGTGTATATTTACTGCCTATCAGTAGAAGGAAATATTACCTAGAAAAAAAACACACAAAAATATTGTGTTAAGTCTTATTGAACTTTAATAACTTTGTAGTTATACTAATAATCTAATGAATGTCGATACTAAAGTGAATAATCGTTATAATATTGCTTTTCACTACACCACTCAAAAATAGATGAAATTCTTAGTAAATATCACATTTAGTAACACATACATTCAAATATTTATTTATCGAGCTGTACGAAAGATAAATGTATAAATATTTTAGCAAGAACACATTAGAATATGAAGAAAAATAAAGTTTTTTAAATTCAAAATGCGTAACAGTTATTGCATTACAACAATTTTTAGTTTTTAAAATGAATATTGAATACCTATGTAATAATTATATTAATTTAGAAACTTAATCATACTTACGCCATAGTGATAACTTAAATATAATTTTATTGAGTCAAAGCGTATAGTTGTCAAATAGGATAACAATAGAGGTGATGTAGTAAACTTTCCAAATATAATCTTTTAATGTTAAGATCTACAGTTCAATCATTTACTTAATTGAAAAATTATAACAAAAATAAATTAAAAATAATGCATATTTCTACGTCCATTTAACATCTTAACTGATAATGGTTTTAGATATTTATTTTTTATGAATTATTATTACACTGTTCGGATGTTTTACACCAATATACTTACAATGTAAACTTCTTGAACATAATATAATGATATTTAACTATGCATACATTCATTTGATATAGTACAATTTTTAAATATAAAACAAGGTTAAAAGATATTATGAAAACATTTTAAATTATTATATGGAAAATTAAAATTGGGAATAACAAATATTTGTACAATTATAAATTCGTAAAAAGTGCTTCTGTAAGTTGAAAAATGATCAATTAGTATAATAATTGTATTTCGATATTTTATATTTATATTATGTACCATTTGCAAAGGTTCACAACGCGTTTTCGATAAGTTAAAATATGATATCAATCAGTCACTTCTCTTATGACGTACGATATACAATTTATTCCCCTGGGAGTGCCGAGTATTGGTGTGATACCAAGGGTGGGCCACCGTGTTTTGACGTTTTTCCACGATATGGATGATACAGAAAACCGGGAAAACACGGTGGCCCACTCAGTATAGTTTTATAATTGGTTTTTTTTAAATAAATATATATATACATATATTATGAACTATAAGCGAAAAACGTGTAATTAACCATTTATGATATATGGGTTACAGCGTGTCTATAAAACAATGAGATAAAGATACATAAAGAGAGTGAGATCTGATATGGAGGATGATTATTTTATTTCTGACGTTACAATTTCAATCCATAATATAATATTAAGTTCAAATATTACATTTTATATCCAACAGGTAGGAAAGATTAGGTCGGTGACGTCATAATACATAAGCTGTGATAGGGGTCCAGAAACAGTACAAACTCGCAGCGTAGGCAATTTATATATGCACAAGGTAGACACTACACATATCATATTATATTATATTATTTAGGAAGCCAATGGCTATACTTATACTAAGTTCTTGTATTGTATATGACGCATATATTATGTGTTGGTGTTTCATAGAAATATTTTCATAGACGCTCTTAGCGTTTACAGAATAATAATATGCACAAAAATGGAACACGACAATATCATTACTTAAATTAAATTCATTGTGACAAAAACATGATGTCTAATATAATTTTATTACATCACGCCTTGCTTATACGTTACTTATAACAGTCTGTTGTATAATAAATATGAAAATAAATACATACTATAATACATATTTTATTCTAATTATAGATCATAGTTCGTATAATTAAAACAAGTTTAGTTAAGTATGAATTAATTTTTCTACAAAATAAAAATAAAATATTCTGAGAAAAATATTTTTTTTTAATAATTTCTAAACAGTACAATTTTAACAAGAAAAGGAAAAGAAATTCAACTCCTTATAGACTCAATTTACTTATTCATATTTCATAAATAGCACCTACATAATCAAGKTGTATAATACAAATAAACCTTCCCTACCTATTATTATTTTTATTAATAATTTTAATAAATACAAACCATAACTCAAAATATTAGCTTACAGTAATACAAGTATTAAGAGTGGTCAATGGAGTGTAGTGGACCAACATTTTGCGAGAAACCATACGGCCCACTCCTTTTACTCATCAAAACTTTTAAAACTTATAACTTATATTAACTACATATTTAATATCAAACTTTTTACACATTCTGTTTCAAAATGTTTATTTTTCAAACATTATTTTTTTAGATTAYCTGATACAGTGTTGAATAATAAGCTTGATAATAAGGATCAATTATTGATACCAAAAATAAGTAGATATTAAATTGCCTAAAAATAATATTATTTTAAAAATGTTAATATTTTTCAAGATAATAAATGCTTACCGTACCATCGAAAAAAGCCCATTATGTGGTAAGACTTTGTACCTAACCTAAATTGTTCAAGTATGAGTTTTTCTAAAATACCCAAATTCAATAATTATTTTTGATCGTTAATACGATGAAAATCTTTATAGTATAAAACCTAACCTAAYCTTCAATAAGTTATAATATATTTTAGCTTTAAAAATACAAAACAAATAATGTCAATTATTGAATCATATATAATATATGCCTCTTAACATTTTATTAATAATACAAATTTGGAATTAATAATAACATATTCACAAAATACTTATTGCATAAAAAGAACCAGTAAAATGGATTTTTTCTTTTAATGAAAAAAACTATTTTTTGCATGTATTTATATTTTTTATGAGAGAGTACAAACTTATTACATATTTTTGAAAACAATAAATAAATATAAATATAAATACGGGTATGTATAATAATACTATATATACTTTTATTTTGTTACACAGGTAAGCCAGAGGGTGGTTTTAATAAACTGGAGATTTATTTACTTTGTTATAGTGGGTGATTATTTTAAAAGTTGAAATATTAAAGCRTGTTGATTAAAAAGTCAAATATGAATATAGTTCATAAATTTATGTTTTCCATAAGTTACAGTTTAGTGTTAAGTATTTTGAATTTTGAATATGGTATGTGTGTTATTCGCTAAAATTGTATACTCAAGTCTAGGGGTACTGTACTACTAAGGTTTCATCTCTTTCTTTCAAAGTTTAAAGGTTGGATTTAATAATTTTTTAATAAAAATAAACACCGTCTGCATATTAAAGTTTCCAATCTTTTGAGGTAA